ATTCGAAACCTTGAAGGGTGAATATCTTTCCGTGATTCCCAAGTTAATAGTTTATCCGCCAAAATTCTCACGAGACCGTACGTGATACTCAAGAGCGAGGGAACGCTGAATTTGAATGGGCGAGGTTGAGCGTGGGCAAGGGGTCATTACCCTAAAGTTTCAGCTTCCTAGACTCCGTGGTTCCCGAAATAATAATTTATCCGTCAAAAATTTTCACGGGGCCGTACTTGTTACCTACGGGCAGGGGAAGCTGAATTTAATTTTGCCGCGTCATTCGCTGGCGGGGAACACTATACCAAAATTTCAGCCGGCTAGCTTTTGTTGTTCCCGAGTTGAAAGCGCGGGATAGAATGTGGGACACACACACACACACAGACAACCCCGTGACGATATGCGTTTTGTAATGCTCTTACACAGCACAAAACACATAAAAATTGCTCAGATGTTCCTCCCTCCTCCCGAGGAAACCGTCCTCGATGCACCTATCACAGCAGCCATCCGTAAGCCATCTCTCGATGGTTCTCTTTGCTCAGGGCCTCAGCATCTCAATAGCGATGCAACTTTGGGTACAAGCAGTCAGCGGCGGTAAGTATATTTGGAGAAGATCCAGGTAGAACTGGAAGAGTAGCGTCTGGAGCGACAGATGAGACGATTGAGTAAGTTGTTGGACGGTCTGTTCTAGAATCCGGGCTTCTCAAGCTGACTGTACTATTATTTTGCCTAGTACTGTACATTATCTCCGGGAAGGGGGGGGGGGGCAAATCTCCCTGAATTACTGCGGCTCGAGCCTAGCACTGCCCAGCTCTGTCAGGCCAATCACTGCGTCTTCTCTTATCGCGTAATATATCAAATAGTGATTAATGGTTTTTGTTAAAAACAGATTAAAGATAAACTGCGTTACTATTACGCAGTACCCCTGTCCCTGGTTCAAATCGCCCTACCCTCAATGAACTTCCGATCTTTGTCCCCTGGGCTATAAAGGCACTTCTCCCCATCGCCGGGATCGCCACTGCCAGTTTTCTACTGCAACTTCTACACAGCTACTATTCCTATTCTGGGGAGCTTGGGCTCCCCAGAGCCTCACCTACTTTTTATACCTTATCCTTTTACTTTATTATGTATAATAAACCTATACATAGGGCGCGACGTGCTACACACACACACCTACAAACGGGGCACTCACTAGTCCAATAAGCCAACTATTAGGGTCGCGATACTCTACTGTTGTAAATTTCCTTTTATAACATATTATTTATTACAATAATTTTTACTCCGGGAGCGTGCCCTACACCTCCGCGGTCTTGATTTGTATTTTCGATAACAGCATTGCAATGTATTGTTTTCAGGAGAAGAATTGGAGGGCGGAAAACAAGCTGTGAACGATGAAAGAAGCGACTGTAAACAGCAGCCCACGTCTGTTTCCTTCCTTACTATTTCTGTTTAGGCGTTGTTTAACTTATTCATATGTGCTATAATATATCAGGACAACTAAAAATAATTGGCTAACACACGGGCTGCCCGTGCGAAGATGCGTTTTTTGCATAGTTCCCCGCGGGTTTTTGTTGCTGATGGCATTGGTTTTTCCGGCAGATGCTCCTAGCTAAAAGAATTGAGACTGGCCACCGCGACTTTCAAAAAACATCCTCTCAAAGTTCCAGCTTTCTAGCTTTTTTGGTTCCCGAATTAGCAACTTATTCGCTAAAAATTTTCACGAGCCTTGTGCGTAAGTGCCATGCACACCTGGAGGCTGAGCATTCCTTATTTCAAGCAGTTCCTGTAAGATAAGTGAGGTGCTGCAGGAGCTAAGCTTAGGAAGAAAGTAGGCTTAAAAACGGGTTTCAGCATGAAGACGTTTGAAAGAACCCGTCTGCCCAGATTCAGATTGCAAATACACGGCGTGAACTTGAGAGAATTTGGT